ACACACACACACACACACACACACACACACACACACACACACACACAGCATCCTCTCACTAGGATGGGTAAAGCTTGCTCTCTAGCACCCAGACTCTCAGGAAACATCCTCACGGAGACTTTGAGTCACACAGACCTTTATAGCCCAAAGAGGGAGATGGGTGGAAGCTGGGGTCTCTGTACACAGTGCGTGGCTTCCATGGATGGCTGTGCTGGGGTCTCAGCGTCCCAGTGACTTCGGCTGGTGGAGGCTAGGCTGACTCTCTTGGTGGAGGCTGGGTTGCCTCTCTTGAGATCTCTGGCAGTATCTGATGTGGGGTGATGAGATCTCTGGTCAGGGAGGGATGGCCATGGAGGAGGCTATGTCCGTGTGGCACTAGTTCCTGGTGATGGTGTGAAGTAAGAAGCAGCAGTATCTCAGAGACTGGAGGTGGGCTGGGGAGATCAGTGGGGTTGCTGCCAGACAGAAACAGTTTCCACATGAGATTCCTTCTCTGTGGAAGCCCCAAGGCTGGCCCTCTGTGTGGCCTGGTATCTCTGGAAATGGCACCCGGTGGCCCAGTTCTCAGCTTAAAGGGGCAGCTTTCAGCAGGAATAAACCTGGGGCCTCAGTGAACCCTGACGGAGACCTAACCGTCTGAAATTAGCAGATGGAGTGCGCACGGGTGTGTTTCCAAAGGGCTTCCCCTGCCTTGGGATTCCAATCCTATTCGGTCGTCCCAGACCGGTCCTGACTATAGTGTGTCCAGTGAAACCTCCTCTGCCCTTGCTCCAAGAATAGGTTCATGTTCGTGCCAAGCTGGGCACTGCCCTAGGAAGATGGAAGCTGAGAAGCCAGGCCACCATGCTGGGCTGGGATCTTTCTATATTGGTTTGCAGATACCAAGTTCTTTTTTCTTCCTCCTGAGAGAAAAGACAAAAGACTTGGACTCACGGGTGTGCATGTACAGCTTGGATTTTCTGAAATGTAATAGCGCATGCCCACAGAAACTGGAGACGAGGTTACCGGGGGCCCAGGACGGCTTGGGGACTAGGGAACTGACAGGCTCGGGGTGTAAGGTTTCTCTTTGTTGGGATGACGATATCCTAACGTCAGCTGTGCAGATGCCTGCACATGTCCGTGAGTACACTGCAAACAGTTGGGCTGTACCCTTGAAATGGGCACACTGCAGGGCATGTCCATCCTATTTCAATAAAGCTATTGGAAATGCACAGAGACGCCCTGTGTAGCCGAAGGCGGGCTTCCTAACATTGTCCTCCCAGCTGTGTGCAGTGCCCCAGGACCTCTGTCCCCCAGGACCTCTGTCCTCCAGGACCTCTGTCCTCTCGCTTCCCTTTGTGCCCCATGGAGAACCCTCCTCCCAGGATCCGCTCGGAACACACCAGGGTGTAGAGAGAGCCTTCTGGGCAGCCTTGAGCGCAGAAGACCCCTCAGAAGCCCCAGGCCTTGCTGCATTCAGCCTCCAGCCAGCACTATGCTGAAGCCACCATGCACCCTTCCCAGGGAGGTGGGCAGTCCTCACTGCTTACTGGAGTTATGAGTGAGTTTGTCCAACATTTATACGTTTTTATACGTCTTCAGCACTGTCGGCCTGAAGCAGAAAATTACTGGCCAGACATGATGAGTCATACCTGTAATCCTGGGCACTAGGAAGCCTGAGGCAAGAGGGTGGTGGGGGTTCATGGCCAGCCTAGATACCATAGCCAAACTCCATCTCAGACATCATTAAAACCAAACAAGAAGCAGTGTTTCTCCAAATATTAGTATTAATTTAGGAACAGCAGAATAAGGCAATGAGAACACACAGGTCAGGGCTGGAGAGACGTCTCAGCCACTGAAGACTAGGCTCATAGATACAAGAGGAGACACAGGTCATAGTAAATTACGCCCATATTAGGAAGGATTGAAACAAAGGGAGTTTTTAAAAGGCAAAAATAAGGAATATGGATCTGGCAGTTCAACAGTGATAGAGTCCTTGCCTATTATACTTGAGACCAGGGATTATGTCCCCCAGTGACCAAAATATTAATAATAATAATAACAACAACAACAGATAAATTCAAACAAAGATGCACCACATCAGTTCCTTTGAAACAGTAACCTCGGCCACGGTGCCTAACAAGGAGAGGGGCTTCCTCATGAGCTGGGAGACCCTGGCCAAACTGTTGTCCTTGCAGAAGAACTTCCGTGTGGGGCTGTGGCGGCCACCGTGCAAGCTTGGGGTATGACAGTCCTTTCCCACAGCTACCATCAGTCATGCAGAAGAGTTCTTTTCCCATGAGCTTTTTTTTTTTTTTTAATGGGGATGACACAAGAAGCGCCATTTTCACTCTGGCGACATTCACCTCTCTCACAGGATAAACGTGAGCATGGCCGGTGGCGGGTCACACATTAGTTATTTACTGGTTGTTGTGAGAAAATACCTGAGAAGAAGCAACTTACGGGAGGAAGAATTGGTTTGGGCTGTGCTAAGGTAGGGTCAATCGCGGCAGGGCAGACGTGCCGGCAGAAGCGGGTCCCTGGTCACATTGTGCCACCGTCAGGGAGCAGAGAGAGAAGGGTGCGGCTGTCAGCTCCCTCTCTCCTTTCGTTCAGCCTGGGGCTCTCGCACGTGGAATGACCCAACCAAACTCAGGGCGGGTCTTCCCAGCTCAGTAGTTCATGTCTTCTGGAAACACTCACAGGCACACCCGGAGGCTTGTCGTCTTCCAGTGTTGAGACAAGCCGACAGCCAAGATTAGCATCGCACTCGGTGATGCACCGGGGAAGAGCCTTTTGGGTAACTGGAGTCTCTGGAGAGCCAGGCGCCAGGTTCTGGCCAGGTCGCTCCTCTTGCTGATGTCCCCTCTTCGTCACCCAGGAGTCATGTGGCTGGAACTTCTCCTGGCTTCGGTGCTGGGCCTTGTCATCTACTGGTTCATCTCCCGGGACAAGGAAGAAACCTTGCCCCTTGAAGATGGATGGTGGGGCCCCGGGTCGAAGCCCTCCGCCAGGGAAGATGAGAGCATCCGGCCTTTCAAGGTGGAGACCTCAGACGAGGAGATCAAGGTGAGACGCCCTTTCCCAGCCTGGGTAGAAACCAAAGGGGCAGACTGGCTGTGGTTTCCTTGAACCTGAACAGGAACGTGGTTGAAGAAGGAGCTTTGGAAATGGAGTGTCTTGAGGTTTTATCTGCCCACTCTTCCCCCTGAGGGCAGGTGCATTTTTACTCCTAAAAGGCATTTCCTACTTCCTAACCCCATCTCTCTAGTTACTTTTCCTCCTCAACACAAGGCCCAGAAGGGCTGCTGATGGAACCACTGTGTGCAGCAGAGACCAAAGAAAGCTTCTGTCCCCCTCCCCTCGTGCCCACTTGCGGCAGGTACAGAGTTTAAGAGAGAGAGCGAACAGATGCCCAGGGCAGATGTGGAAGTCACAACTACAGAGAGAAGGTAGTGCTCAGGAAATAGAGTGGCGTGGGGACCACAGGGTCGGCCTTGGGCAGGCCCCCACTGTGTGGACCGCTCCTGGGCCCATCATAGCCTTATACCAAGCCTGACCATTGTCACCTGCTGTTCCGGCCCTCAGAGGTGGGCCCTGAAGCGGAGAATGGTTGGTACGGCAGTGTGTCGTGGAATAGTATTGCAAGATGTGTTGCTTTTGTTCATGTTGCATTTGTTTAACTCTGTGAAGCTGTGTTACTGTGCCTGTCTAAAACACCTGATGGTCTAATAAAAAGCCGAACAGCCAATAGTGAGGCAGGAGGAAGGATAGGCGGGGCTGGCAGGCAGAGAGAGTATAAATAGAAGGAGAAATCTGGAGGAGAAAAAGATCAAGGAACAAGAGAGAAGGAGGAGAAGAATGTCAGGGGCCAGCCACCCAGCTACACAGCCAGCCATGGAGTAAGAATGAGAGGAAGATTACAGAAGTAAGAAAAGGAAAAAGCCCAGAGGCAAAAGGCAGATGGGATAATTTAAAGTTAAGAAAATCTGACAAGAAACAAGCCAAGCTAGGGCTGGATATTTGTAATTAAGAATAAGCCTCCATGTGTGATTTATTTGGGAGCTGGGTGGTGGGCCCCCCAAAAGAGCAAAAGCAACCAACAACTGCAGTGGGTTCCAGTCTCAGGGTCCTGGCCCTTCCACCCAGAGTTGGAGTCAGAAAGGAAGGGCCGGTGGGTAGAGGGAAGAGAGAAGGAAGTCTTCCGGAGGAGCCAGGCTCAAGTAGGGTCGCAGGGGGCAGACCTTTCGCAGCCCGGCCTCTCCTTCACCGTGTGGCCCTTAAGCAGCTACTGTGATAGGTGCTCTGCAGTGTGTTTGGAGAACAGACACCCTTCCCTCACAGAGCTCAGCATTTAGATTCCATCCATGAAAAGGGAGTACATCCAAAGATACAGTGACCCACACATCAGGAGAGATTAACGTCATTAACGATTAACTAGCAAAAGGTCACAAAAGTTCCCAGGAGGAAGAAATTGAGACCAGGAACTGACTGGACCAAAGCCAAGAGGGCTGAGGTTCCTATGTGGGACACGCTGGGCCCTTTCTGCTGAGGGCGGAAGCTGAGCTCCAAGGATCATCCTGAATTGAGTCAGGCCTTGGAAGGAGTCTAAGGTTTCCAAACCTGTTTGGGGGAGGCCAAGGGACATGAAAACCTCTGGGAATAATGACACCTGAGCCACTCCATGAGGCAACAGGCACGTCCCTCCGCTGGAATGTTGAACTTTTAACTGGATCCGCTCTATCTGGACCCTGTGTCCTGGGCAGTCCTTTCTGTCTGAGTTAGGATCATTCATTGCTGTACAGCAAGGCTGGCCCACCATGGCCCAAGGCCAAGTGTAGCCTGCCACTTGTATTTTAACTGCCCAGTGAGGAAACTTTTGCATCTGTAAGGGGTATGGAAAAAAACAAAAAAAAAGTAATAATTGAAGTCAGGCAATGATTGTATGGATTTGAGTTTTAGTCCTGTGTGTAAGTTTAACTGGAGCACAGCTTCACTGCTCATGTGGGGATCGTGTGTGGACACGGCCTCACTGCTCATGTGGGGATCGTGCGTGGACATGGCCTCACTGCTCATGTGGGGATCGTGTGTGGACACAGACTCACTGCTCATATGGGGATTGTGTGTGGACACAGCCTCACTGCTCATGTGGGGATCATGTGTGGACACAGCCTCACTGCTCATATGGGGATCACATGTGGATCGTGTGTGGACACAGCCTCACTGCTCATGTGGGGATCATGTGGGGATCGTGTGTGGACACAGCTTCACTGCTCATGTGGGGATCGTGTGTGGACACAGACTCACTGCTCATGTGGGGATCATGTGTAGACACAGCCTCACTGCTCATGTGGGGATCGTGTGTGGACACAGCCTCACTGCTCATGTGGGGGTCATCTGTGGCAGCTCCTCCACTTCAGGAAATGAATAGAGAGCTTGCATCTTGCCCAAAATCTTGCCATGTGACTCTTTACAAAGCTTTCCAATTCCAAACCTATAGCTGGCTTAGAGTATTAAGAGTATTGTTCACACACCTGAGAAATGAAAAGATGGCTGGGATGGAGCTAAAAGGGAGAACCCACCATGTGTGGCCTGTGCAAAGCCTTCTGTCCTCTCCCTGAACCTCACATTCCACCAAAACAAAGGGATGAAAGGGAATCTGGAGTCCACAGGGAAGAACCATCAGCCTCTCAGGGATCCACTGATGCACATGGGCCCTGTGTGGCCCCTCCGTGGTGCCCATCTATGGCTGCAGGGTTCACGCTGAGTTGTGGACACAAGCTCTCCCCTGCCTCTGCCCACCCACCCTGGCTTCCTCCCTGCAGGACTTACACCAGAGGATTGACAGGTTCCGGGCATCCCCGCCTTTGGAGGGCAGCCGCTTCCACTATGGCTTCAACTCCAACTACCTGAAGAAAGTGGTGTCCTTCTGGAGAAATGAGTTTGACTGGAGGAAGCAGGTGGAGATCCTCAATCAGTACCCCCACTTCAAGACCAAGATCGAAGGTGAGTTTCCAGAACGCCAGCCTGGCGGAGGGGGTGTGTGAGCAGCCTTCCTGTGTGAGGTGAGTGGCCCCAAGTCAATCATGTGGTAGCACCCCAGAATCCAGTGGAAGGTCACTGAGATGTTGTGGTTCACCATCTTGCCATGATGTACAAATAATACCAAGAGTCAACAAACCATCAGTGTGTACAACCAGACATGAGGGCAGAACACTGACTTTGCAACCAGAGACCTGCAAAGTCCAGTTAGCAATATAGAGATCCTTGAGCAGCGTCTATAAGCCTGGGGTCTGAGCATGGCCTGAATCTGCTCAGCTCCTGCTGGAGTTTTGGCCTAGGCAAACTATGGGATGCTCAATGGTCAATCCTATGATAAACTGTCCTGTCCAACTATAGCCCTCAACCTCATGACCAGGTCCTCCCACACTGTCACTCAGACTAGCCATGAAGACACAAAGTTAACTCTATTTCCAGGAAGCGTGACTCCAGGATCATTTTGTCTAAATTAATAGATCCTTAATAGAAAACAAAATTTTGCAACACTTGATTAAGCAGGGAATCTTTAGTAAAATTAACCCCTGCTGTTAATTTTTTAACCCATTTATTTGTATTGTGGTAAAATGCATGTAACATAACATTAAGTACACAGTTCAGTGGCTCAGTGGCAAGAAGTGTATTGTTCCATGGCATGAAGATGATTGTTGTTAGGCAGGATGTTTCCAGAAGTTTTCCACCATCCCGCACTGAAACTCTGCCCGGTCACCCCAGCCCATACTTCTCACCCTACTGCAGCCCTGGGCAGCCCACCTTCCTGTCTCTGTGAATCCGTGTACTCTAGATTACTCACATGATTGACTCACGCAAGTGGCTTTTCCCACTGGTGCCTGGCTTCTTATTCTGTCTTCATCTCCTGGGCAGCTGTCAGAATTTTGTTGTTGCTGTGGGACCCGTGCCTCAAGATGCTCGGCGGGAAGTCTACTGCTCTTCCCTACATCCTGCCCTCTTCTTACCTTTCAAGGCCACAGATTCCATAGTGTGAAGGAGACATTTTCTTTATCCACTCATCCACCCAAGGACACCTTTGCTGCTGTGAATAACACAGAACACAAGTGTTCACTCACCCCTGAAGACCCTGCTTACGGCCAGCACAGTGCTGCCCCTGTGATCCCAGCACTTTAGAGGTGGGGCAGGAGGATCAAGGGTTCAGGGTCAAAGCAGGCTGTCTACATAGGAGCCTGCTTCAAAGCACAAAACAAAGCAAAGCGACTCTTGAACTGTTTGTGCTGCCATCCAGAAATGGCAACGCTGAATCAGATAGAAACTCTGTAGTCAATTTTGTGAGAAACCGCCATGGTGTTTCCATTAGCAACAGAAACATTTTACGTTCCCGCCAGAGTGCGCAGGTGTCCAAATTCTCCACATCCTCCCCCCAGGCTTGTTAATTCCTGGGATTTGTGACAGTGGCCGTGCTAACGGATATGGATCGATATCTTCAGTGTGTGTGTGTGTGTGTGTGTGTGTGTGTGTGTGTGTGTTGTAATTTTGTCTGTGGTGATACAGACATGTTATTCACCATGAATAATGGTATCAAGCATCTTTTTTTTTTTTTTTTGGTTTTTCGAGACAGGGTTTCTCTATGTAGCTTTGTGCCTTTCCTGGGACTCACTTGGTAGCCCAGGCTGGCCTCGAACTCACAGAGATCCGCCTGCCTCTGCCTCCCGAGTGCTGGGATTAAAGGCGTGCGCCGCCTGGCTATCAAGCATCTTTTCATTGCATGATAATCATTTTCAGATCTTTGAAGAAATGTGTGTTCAAATCCTTTGCCCATGGTTTCAGGATGCTGTTTCACTGTATGGTCCAGACTGGTCTGAAATTGGGAGCATAAATGATTCTCCTGCCTCAGCCTCCCAAATAGCTGGGGCTGTAGGTGGATTTGGAGTTACTGTGTGATCAAGTTCCACTCTTCATGAGTGCTGCTATGCTGTTCTCCGGATGCTGGCATCTCCTGCCGTGACTTTACCAAGAGCATCCAAGCCGCTTTACCAAGGCCCCTCTGTTCAGACTGATGAACCAGTCCCCACAGGTCGTCGTTTAAAGCCAAATGATGCCACTTCTTGGGCTCAGACGTGGATCTCTCTGCTGTCTCAACTTTCCTGTGTCCATGCAGCAGATATGAACAGTGTCCTTCTCTAGCCCAGGCACTGTGCTTGAGGGGAATGGCCAGTTAGAAAGGACAGGGGTCCAGCCTTCCTGCCTCACAGTTCGTGGTTAGGGGCAGAAAGAAAGAAAGTTCCAAAGCTGCTTCCTCCAACTGTGAGGAAGGGCTTCCTGGAAAAGGATCCACCACACCAAGATAAGTAGGAGCGAGCCAAGTGTGGGGGACAGTGGGCCAAGGATGAAGACTGAGACAGAGTCCAGGGGCAGGAGGTGCCAAGGGCTGTTTTCTTTCTGGGTGACAAACTCAGAACACAGTTTCACCCCGGTGACCTCTGGACGCGCCCAGTCACTGTGTTACAACACAAAGCTTCCTCCATGTACAAGAGCTCCAAGGTGCCGGGCGGTGGTGGCGCACTCCTTTAATCCCAGCACTGGGGAGGCAGAGGCAGGCGGATCTCTGTGAGTTCAAGGCCAGCCTGGTCTACAGAGTGAGATCCAGGACAGGCACCAAAGCTACACAGAGAAACCCTGTCACGGTGTGTGTGGGGGGGGGTACTCCAAGAAGGCAGTTCCAGCCTGGAGTTCACTCCTGAGCAGTTCTGTGCACTTTTCCCAGGCCTGGCCCTGGCAGGATGGGTTCTGTCTCTTGAACTTAGAATCATGGTTCTCTGTCCTGCCCTACGGGGCCACGTACCAGCTTCAGCCCTCATACCCAGCAAGTCTTCCCTTCCACTCCTTTCCTGGGCCCCACAGTCTGGGGTGGCTCACCCTGTACCCTGCCACCCCCTGCCTTGTGCTGTGCTATGTGGGACCTCTGTGTCCCCAGTGTCTGTGCTTCAGACTCAGACACCTCCCCCAGTGGTGTGTCCAGGTCCTCACTGTCCCTCCGTGGAGCTCCCTGTCCTACCAAATTTCTGCTTGCTCTATAAACCACCAGACCCACCTCTGCCCCTGGCCTCCTGATAGGGTGGCCATGGCCACTGCAAAGAGTCTGAGGGTTTCAGAGGCTGATGGGTAAGTTCACTCGACCGTCCAGGGAGGAGACAGTTGCCCCTGAGGCTGGCAGGTGGTGGTGCAAGCCCAGGCAGGCGCCCAGACTCCTCACCTGACTTCTACCCTACACCTGCCCCCGCCCCCGCCCCCCGGCACTGTCCAGGGAACTTAGGCTCCCAGCCAGTGACACCCCCAACCTCATGACTCCCCCGCTTCTCTCCATACCCAGTATTGCCTTCCTGCACTCACTATGGATTTGTGGGCTGTTGTCCTACAGGAGACCCAACCAAAGCCTTTCCTTCCATGGGAAATGGACCCATGAGGTCACCTCGGCACTACAGGATTTTAACAGTGTCCTCAGGCTGGAATGTGGCCCAGTCAGGTAGCATGTACAAGACACTGGACTCTATATTTAATACTGATAAGAATTAATAATGATGATAATAACTTTAAATTTTTATAATGTAGCTGTTACAAGGGAACGCAGATAAAGGTGAGGATTCCTGTCAGGGTATTCCCATCCCAGATCCAAATTCTGCTCTAACAGAATTACATGAGGGAGAGCTCTGTGGGTGGGTATTTCTTTGTTCTAATTTTAAAATCAGATGATGTGATACTAAACTTTGAATGAAAAATAGCTTCATACCATGCCGTTCAGGCCAAAAATCATAAAAATAAACTTGAAGATAGCAGTAAGTTGAGCGACAGAGAAAGACCCTGGGAGATATTGCTAAGTGGGAAAATCAACATTCCCAAATAGAACAGGCGCGGCTGTTTAGTGTTGTTAAAGGAAGACATGTTCTAGAAGTGTTTCTTGAAAATGCGGACTACACTAAAGGAAGCCTGAGAACACAAGTCAGGCCCTGGGAAGGATCCTGAGAAGGAGGTCAGATTAAAGCCGAGAAGCCCTGGATGGCACAGCACCGGATGTACGTGCCAACGTCACACAGCTTTCAGAGCGAGAAAACGAAGCAGTGTGGTCATCTATTATCCTAGCACTTGAAAGGCAGAGGCAGGGGGATGGGAAGTTGAGGGTCAACCTGGGAGAGTGATAAGGAAAAAACTCTGCAGTGTGACACCGTGGACAAAACTTAAGGATGTTTTTTATATTGTCCTGAGGGACAGGTGTCAGTCACAAAGGATTCCACCTATGTGAGGTATCTGAAACAGAAACGGACAGAAACAGACTAACTGGACTGGGGAGATGCTAAAACTGTGTAGAATGGTGTGGTGATGGCAGATGTGTAAGTTCTAGGGACTGCTCTGTTTTTTATCGCCATAGTGACCAGTGCCGCTGGTGAGGGGCGTGGCTCAGAGTGAATGGATGAAATTTTTAATGAATAATTCTGAGAACTTAAAAGGTTTAGTGTTGGGCTGGAGAGACAGGCTCAGCAGTTAAGAGCACTTCTTGTTCTTGCAGGGGCCCAGCGTTCCCTGCACCCACATGATGGCTCACTGCAAATGGAGTTTTCCCATCACAGAAGCCACTTCCAAATTACCACACAGAGGCTGAATATGAATTATAAATGCTTGGCCAATAGCTCAGGCTTGTTACTAGCTAGCACTTACATTTAAATCAAACCATTTCTATTAATCTATGTATTGTCACATGGCTCATGGCTTTACCTGTCCTCTAGCATGTCTTGCTTCCTTGGTGGCTGGCTGGCATCTCTCCTGACTCTGCCCTCCTTCCCATCATTCTCAGTTTGGCTTTCCCGCCTAACTTCCTGCCCAGCTACCAGCTTGACAGCCTTTTATTAACCAATGAGAGTAATACATATTCACACTGAAGAAAAGGATTGTTCCACAGCAGCTCACAACCATCTGTAACCCCAGTTCCAGGAGATCAAGTCCCCTCTTTTGAACTCTGCAAGCACCAGGCATTTATGTGGTATACAGACATACATTCAATCAAAACACTCATAAGCATACAATAAAATAATCTAAAAAAAAAAAGTTTGGTTTTATAATTGGAAAATGATAAGAAATGCTTCAGCCAATACATATATCAAAAGAACAAAATTAAAATACTTAGTTGTATCACAGCACTTATTCTCTCCCAGGAATGGCACACAGGGAAACAAGATTCCCCAGGACCTCAGCCTCCACTACAGCAGGACCCTCCATCCCTCACCCTGTCTGCTCTCTCCCCAGGGCTGGACATCCACTTCATCCATGTGAAGCCTCCCCAGCTGCCCTCAGGCCGCACCCCAAAGCCCTTGCTGATGGTGCATGGCTGGCCCGGCTCCTTCTATGAGTTTTACAAGATCATCCCGCTGCTGACTGACCCCAAGACCCATGGCCTGAGTGACGAGCACGTGTTTGAAGTCATCTGTCCCTCCATTCCTGGCTATGGCTTCTCAGAGGCATCCAGCAAGAAAGGTACAGGGTGCCGGGGGGTGGTACCTCCCAGACTGTGCTCTGTTCTCACCATCACCTGCTAGGGGCATCACCACCCTGAGCCCTGTGCCACTGTGTGGCTCACAAACCTTTCGGTGGCTACAGTGCCCCAAGGGTGGCAGGACCAGGCACAGTGCCCTGTGGTCTGGGTCATCCTCAGGGTACCAAGGCTCCTTCCTTCCGGTCTCCTGTGAGCTACTTTCTCCTCAGCTGGGGATAGAAAGGTCTGGGGAACTTCACAGGCACCTGAGCACTACCCATGTCTCCCTGTATAAGGCTCACGGTACTGGAAAGTTGTCCTGTGCTGTTTGAGCTCGCGGTGAAGCTGACTCTGGAAACAAAGATGTCGACATCCCTATCCTGACGCCCTAGTTCAGACTCAAGTGTGTTTATCTCAGTGTCCTTCAGGACACTCAGTCCTGGGTCAGGCTGGCCCCTGCCTCTGTAATGGGAAGAGGCAAACATAGCAAACAGCTAAGATTATTTAAAAAAAACATTGTATCCTTGAAGACAGCAAGAAGGCAGATATTTCCAACAGGCATGGCTATGTTTATTCCACGGCATAAAAATGCCTACAGTGGGATGCTCATCCATGGAGAGAAAGCTCTCCCCTGGGAATGCTAGTTGACTGCCTCAGTTTCCCTCTTTGGTTTCTGCAGGATGTTTAGAAGGTCTCTTTATTGCTTGCTTTCTCAGGCAAGTGCCTCCCCTCATCTCTCCAGTCTGTTGTAAATTTCTGATTTGATGATGTTTTGCTATTTTACCTGCTGCTACTGTTGCTGTACCTAAACTCCTTCATTCAGAGCCCAAAGTACAGTCACTGTAGGTAGACCATTCTCCGGACTGCACAGAACACCCTGTCTGTCCCCTTCACACTCAGGGTTCAATTCGGTGGCCACTGCCAGGATCTTCTACAAGCTGATGTCGCGGCTGGGCTTCCAGAAATTCTACATTCAAGGCGGGGACTGGGGGTCCCTCATCTGCACCAACATGGCTCAGATGGTTCCCAAGTGAGTCGGTGAAGTCATACAGGCATGGTACAGCCTCACCGGTATCTGTGTGTGTACAGCCTCTACACAGGACACAGGGCTGTTCACACTAGGCCCTCTTCAGCAATGTCCAAGACATTGGAGCTCCCCTTAGCCAGGCCCCCACAGGCCCAGATGCATATGAGCCTGGAGCAGAGGAAAGAGATCTCCCCTCATTAGGTGGGAGAGGGTGTGTTGACCCCATCCTCTCCTTGGGGTAACTGGGGTGGCTGTCTGAAGCAGAGGGTGAGGTATGTGTTAGACCATGTGGGACAAGATCAACAACAGCCCTGACCAGAATACTCTAGCAAAATTTCCTCCTCCCCAACCACTCACCTCCAACTCAGTGGATACCCCCAAGGGACAGGTGCCAAAGGAAGCTGCCTCTCTGGGCCTGTCCCTTCCTCCCCCATCTCCTCTCACACCTGTCCTTCATAGCAGGTAGACTTACTTGTGCCCATTCCTCTGCCCACAGCCACGTGAAAGGCCTGCACTTGAACATGGCTTTCATCTCAAGAAGTATTTACACCTTGACCCCTCTCCTGGGCCGGCGTTTTGGGAGATTTCTTGGCTACACTGAGAGGGATATTGAGTTGTTGTACCCCTTCAAGGAGAAGGTTTTCTATAGCATCATGAGGGAGAGTGGCTACCTACACATCCAGGCCACCAAGCCAGACACCGTGGGTAAGTATACCAGGGCAGAGCCACAGAGGGAATCCCACTGCCCCTGAGAGCACAGCTCACAGAAAGAAAGCCCCAATAAGGAACACAGGACTCTGTTTTCCGTGCTGAGAACTGAACCCAGGGCATCACACATGCTCGATATGGGATCTGCCACCCAGCACAGCTATAATCCCATATGAGAGGCAGAGGCTAGGAGAACCCCACAAGTTTTAGGCCGGCCTAGTCTACACAGTGAGTTCCAAGCCATCCTAGGCTGCATAGCAAGACTCTTGTCTCAAAAAAAGAAAAAGGAGAAGAGGAGAAGAAGGAGGAAAGAAGAAAAAAAGAAACTAAAACTTTTAATTCATAAGGACATCGATGAGATGATCAAACAAACCATAGTTTGTTCAAAGGTATTTAGAATACAGATTTGTTTTCTAATGGATACGGAACTCATTAACATCTACAAGTAGCCAGGCCAGGTGACCCATGCAGGCCTATAATCCCAGCCGCTCTGGAAGCTGCAGCTAGACAATCCAAAAAGTCCTGCCTGCCTGCGGGGCTGACTCTGAGACCCGATCCCAGAGTAAACATTGTAACCACGTGGGGAGGCAGCTGAGAGGGAGAGTGTTTGCCTTGAAACCGTTAAGTCCCCGGTCCAATTCCCCAGTATAAAAGAAAAATGACCATTGGAAAAAAATGTCTTTCTTCTTGATAGACCAGAATCATTTGTGTTTTCCTGGTTTCTATCGTTTACAGAGCTGTAAAGTAGCTGAAAGACAAGGGAAGGTGGGACCCCCTAAAACAGTGGTTCTCAACCCTCCCAATGCTGTGACCCCTTAATCCAGTTCCTCATGTTGTGGTGACCCCCAACCATAGAAGTATTTTTGTTGCTACTTCCTAACTGTAATTTTGCTACTGTTATGAATGGTGATGTAAATACCCGCTGTGCAGGATCTCTGACCTGTGACCCCTATGAAAGAGTTACTCAACCCCCCAGAGGGTCACATTCCACAGCTTGACAAGCACTGCCTTGGCTGACCCAAGACTGTGAGGTGTCCTCTGAATGTCCCCCAAGTCCACTCAGAGCCTCCCACAGTTCCCTTGACATCCCATACCCACACCAAGGACAGCTCCTAACCATAACAGCACTTTATATAAAGTCAGACTTCCTTCCCAGTTGTGAAGCAGATGTTCATCGTTTGACTAGAAATGCAAAAAATGCAAAAAACAAACAAACAAGCAAACAAACAAAGCAGAGAAGTCAGTCTCCAGCTCTCGTGCCTGCCAGTGGTACTCTCCAGAAGAGCTCGCCAACATTGTCCCTTATGCATGTTGTAAATGCAGATCCCCATGTGTCCAGACACAGGTGACGGCCTCTTTCAGGACCTGAACGCCCCCCCCCCCCGAAATGTCCTAGGGTGCTGTTGCCTGTACTCCCCCTTCTGGTGACTGGACCACACAGCATGGACTTTGCATTCTTGCTCCTTTTCTCAACATGACTTTTGTGAGGCTTTATACAGTTATCCCAGCTGCGGTATATAATGCTGCGATGCATGTGTTCTATACAGTTATCCCAGCTGCGGTATTTAATGCTGCGATGCATGTGTTCTATACAGTTATCCCAGCTGCGGTATATAATGCTGCGATGCATGTGTTCTATACAGTTATCCCAGCTGCAGTATTTAATGCTGCAATGCATGTGTTCTATACAGTTATCCCAGATGTGGTATTTAATGCTGTGATGCATGTGTTCTATACTGTTATCCCAGCTGCGGTATTTAATGCTGTGATGCATGTGTTCTATGATGTTATCCCAGCTGCGGTATTTAATGCTGTGATGCATGTGTTCTATATAGTTATCCCAGCTGCAGTATTTAATGCTGCGATGCCTGTGTTCTATACTGTTATCCCAGCTGCGGTATATAATGCTGAGATGCATGTGTTCTATGATGCTATCCCAGCTGAGGTATTTATGCTGTGATGCATGTGTTCTATACTGTTATCCCAGTCATGATGTTTAAGGCTAGGCATGGCACCTGGAGCCTCATGGGTGCTAAGCATGTGCTGCTCCACTGATCTCCCCTGTCCCTGCTATTTCAATGACTGAGATAGTATTTTAGCCCATGGGTACATCGATATTTATTTGTAACAAACTGTCCTATTTTTGACCAAGATACAGCCCACGTAGTCTGTGAATCCCATGAGATGATGGGAATGTTGACCTCTATTTGCTCTATGAGGCTGCTCAGGCCAGGGCTCCAGAAGTGGGGTGCGTGGCGGGGCTTGCTGCTGCTCTGTGGCACCCACACACCTCCGTCCTGGAGTCATACTCCCTGGGGCCAGGCTTCAATGCCTCCCTTGCTCCATCCCATCCAGGCTGTGCTCTGAACGACTCGCCCGTGGGCCTGGCTGCCTACATCTTAGAAAAGTTCTCCACCTGGACCAAGTCAGAATACCGTGAACTGGAGGATGGAGGCCTGGAGAGGTGAGGCCCCATCACCCTGCCCTCAGACCAGATCCCCAGGCTCTCTGCCTCTCTCGGCCTGCCGTTCCACCTGTCTCCAAGCACTCCATGGGGAAAGCTACCAAGCTTCTTCATTCCTTGGCTTGCTGCACCTCCTACTCCATGGCCAATGGAGTCCTGTGTAGGGGAGGGGGAGGGAGAGGCAAGAAAGGTCCAGTGACTTGTTCAGCCTCCCAGTTGGTGGTGAGACAAAATATGTGTGCCAGGAAGTCCCCAAAGTAGCAAACACCCTTTTAGCTGAACCCTCTCTCATGGGACCCATTTAGCCTGTGAGCTCTATGAAAAACCAATGGGAAGGGGCAGGGTTGTGAGAGTGCACTCGTGTGTGCCTCTGACACACCACTGTGCCAGAGGAGCTTAGCATTGATGCCAAGCTCGTTTGTGGCATGGTCACATTCAGGCGCAGACTGTGAGACACCCAAGTGAGGGTGTCCATTCAGAGCCTGGATCCACAGAGGTAGAACTTGGGTAAAATATCATAAGGAAGAGACAGTCCCGTGTGATCTGGTTAGATATCACAGAAAATGTGGGTGGCGGCATCTAGGGATGCCAGGAAGTCTTGTTGACTACAGAGGAGGTAAAGGACAGAGGGATGGGACAGACAGACTTTAAAAGGGCAGAGTCAGATAAGAGCCCCACTCCTACAGACCTTAGCAATAAGAGCAGTTTCAGGAAGCAGGACTGAGAAAGGATGGAGTGGAGGGTAGAGCAGAATGGAGATGGAGTGGTGGGAAGGGCAGCTGGGAGCAGGGGCCTAGGGGCAACGTGAGACCAGATAGTGTGGCTAGTGCAGGAGGAGGAAGAAGCCAGCGTGGCCAAGGAGGCCAATGGGTGATTCAGGGACCAACACTGGCAGATCACAACTCTAGGGCAGAAAAACCTGGAAACACCAGGCCCAGACTCGTCTGCCAGACTAAGATATTCTCAAAAAGGGCAACATGGAGGTGGGACTGTGATAGACTTGTGACCCATCAGGGCACATCCAAGGGCCTTTGGAGGAGTCAACAACTGGGATGGAGTGTGGTCGGTCAGCTGGGTTCAGAGGCCACTTGGGGCTATAGCTAGTCAGAGTTAAGACTCCTAAGACCACAGGGCTGAATCTCTGAGGTCAGCAAGTGTCACAGAAGGGATGGCAGCATTCTGCAGTAGAGGGTCAAAACAGAGGCCCTTCCACAAGACAGACAGCTACCAGGGATCACTGGAGTCGCGGAAGTCACACCCTTGAGTGGCAACCATAACTCACCAACCCTTCCCTGGGCTCCCAGCATGTGAGAGCTAGACCTTACCCGATGTTCTCAGCCTGAAGGGGCAGCCCTCTGTTCCTGACAGCCATGGCTTTCACTGAGCCTGGACATCCTGTGCTCTTTCCCAGGAAGTACTCCCTGGAAGATCTGCTGACCAACATCATGATCTACTGGACAACAGGAACCATTGTCTCCTCTCAGCGCTTCTACAAGGAGAACATGGGCCAGGGCATCAAGGTCCATAGGCATGAGAGGTAAGCCGGGCTGAGCAGGGAGAGGGGCCTCTGGGGCTGGGGCTCGGGCTGGGAACCACTTGGCCTTTAATCCAAAGAAGGTGTGATGGCAAGTTAAGAAAGACATCAGATGTTCTCGGGATCCTGGTCTGCTGGGACAGAGGCACTGGGATCTGCAAGGTCCACATGGAGACCCTCAGGTGACATCAAGACTGGCAAAGTGGGCACTTAGAGGCTCACGTGACCTGTCACATGGTCCTCCCAGGCAGAGAGGGTCCTTAGTGAGTGAAAAGTAGGGACTACAATGGAAGGGTAGTGTAACCCCTTGTCACTAGGGCTCCATATGACCTCGCTGAGTCCTCCCCAGGCCATAGCAGTCTCCTCTGGAAACAGAAGAACACAGCGCCTCAGCCTCATCCCCCCCCTCCTCTTCCTCACAGGATGAAGGTCTTCGTACCCACCGGCTATTCCGCCTTCCCTTCCGAGATAATGCACGCTCCAGAAAAATGGGTGAAGGTCAAGTACCCCAAACTCATCTCCTATTCCTACATGGAGCGTGGGGGCCACTTTGCCGCCTTTGAAGAGCCCAAGCTTCTGGCCCAGGACATCCGCAAGTTCGTGTCCCTGGTTGAACTGCAGTAATGACCCGAGATACCAACCACGGCTTTAGCTGCAGCCCCTGGTCCCTCCCAAGTCACGCAGGGGAGATGACCCCTTTCTAAAGAATAAGTTTGGTTTTTGTCCCCTGACCACACTGGGGGCCCTGACTTAACCGCTCACAGAGTCACCTCTCACCACCCCCACGTGGGTCACCCCACTACACACCTGTGTTAAGCTACACTGCTTTGATGATAAATGGTTTTATTTCTAAGAGTGTCTGGACCAAACGCCGTGTATTTCTTAGACACCCACATGGGGCTTCCCTTCCAAAAGAGAGTTGCCAGGTGCCCCCGCCCCCAACACGGAGGGTCCTGCTGGGCCCTCTGAACCTGGCCCTGCTGACTAGGGCAGGCAGAGAGGCAGTTAGATGCCACCAAGGGTCAAGGCTGTGCTGCATTAGGCAGTCTCCAGGAGGCTGCTAGCTCCCATCTTGAGCCACTCACAGGCCACTGGGAACAGAAGTTGTGAGGCTGGCCATTGTCTGTGAGAAACTCTGAGTATCCCAGGCCCAGCCAGCCCTCCAGATGAGCCCAGAGAGGTCTGCAAAGCTGTGTTGGTCCAGTGGTCCTCTGGCTGAGGTATAGGGAAGGCTCACCCATGCTTCCTCGATCTGTGCCGCCAGAGCAGGACCTCCTTCTCTACCCTGAAGGATCTCCCCATCATGATCCTGTACCTCTGGCCTTCCCCAGAGGACAGCAGGGAGGATGCTCTTTGCCAAAAGCAGCAGCCCAGCTCCAAGCCCCAAGTGAGGGAACACAAGGGACTGCCTGACCTTCTGCGGGTTGCAGCTTCAGACTGAGGACACCCCAACACTCAACCTGGGCACCCCACTCTCCAACTCCCGCTCTGTCTTCATATCCTCCCGTGAGCCCCATGGCACTGCCTCTCCCACCTTAGAAGGAACAGACACTGAGGTGGGGTCTCAGCCCTGGGCCCAGGGGGAACTTTATTCATAGCCCTCATTGTCTGTGCTTTCTCTGTGATGACCCAGAACCTCTGTCCTGATCCAGCCTGAGTCCCAGGTAACAGATACAGAAACCCAGAACAACAGTAGGGATTGGGGGTGTCGCGGGGTACATCTGCTAGGAGGCTGCTACAATCAGCAACAGCAGAAGCCTTCCCTGTCCCCACACCTCCCCTCTGGGAGTCCCTAAGTGGGGCTGCAATGAGGCTCTGGAACCCATCTGGAGTCCACATCAGGCCTGGCTCCTGCAGGATAGCAACAGCGATGTTTCCCCAATCCGCAGAGGACACACACCTTCCTGGTACTGTGTTCTGGGAGATTCCCTGCTGCGGGCCGCAGGAATATATCATAAGAACTCATCTGGTTATGGCAAAGTCACTACCTGGAGGGATCAGGGAATTCCTCCAGAGGAAGCCAAATCCCAAGGAGTTTTTGATGTTACTTGGCTTGTTATTATCAGCTGTATTCTGTTATGAAAATCATGTGTGCCTTCATAGCTTTCCCAATTGACTTTTCCCTAAGAAGGACTAACAGTGT